CTGACTTCTTGCATTTTCTTTCTTAAATCCACAAGGCTGCGTAAAACAAGTAAGGATTTTAGTGCTTATCATGATATTGCAGAGAGAAAAAGGCAGGTTTCCTCCTCATGTGAAATGACAGTTTCTAGTTCAGATTTTTAAAAGAGCTTGCTCTACTAGAAAGCACATGTTTTTGTAATCACAGGAATAAGAGGTTCAAATTGCTGCCATTCATTTCAGCTGTGCTCTTTTTTTTTTTTCCTCCTTTTTTTTCTTTTTTTTTCTGATACTCGCTTGGGATGCAGTGACATCTGGGAGGGGTAGGGTTGCCATGCCATGTTCCTTCTATATTCTTTGCACTCATGTATTCTTAGCTGGGTTTCCTGTGTCTTAGCTCATAATAAAAGAGCACAGGAAGGAAGAAGGAAATGGAAAAACAATATCTGCTGGGAAAAGTCTAATGTAGAAAAAATACTGTTATAAGCTTGGGTAATATTTAGCAGTTTATCATCAGACATATTGGCCTCATAAAATCTCATAATAAATTGATAAAGCAGGCTTCTGTTTCCTGAGGGGGAAAAAAAGGAAGAGAGAAAAGTACAACTGCTGTTAGTGTGGTAAATCTTGCCCTTGCTAAGACAGAAGAAGTAAAGCAACACGCTCCTGAAGGATGTGGATCCCACTGAGTTTTTAGACCAGAATGTGACATGACTTAGTTCTTGAAGCTCAGCAAGGCTTGGAGAAGCTGAAGAGAGTAGGCTGAGAGTTCTCAGTACCCTCAGAACATAGCACTGTTCCCTGGAGCAGCCTCAGGAGCCGAATGCAAGTGCACTCTGCTGTGTGTGGGTGCTTCTGTCAGCAATTTGTTGAACAGCTATTAAACTTACATGTCATAGATTTTCAGGAAAGCTTTGAAGAAGATAACATTTAGCTTTCGATTAAGCAAATCCCTGTTTACGTCAGGGAATTGACAGGAAGGTATAATCATACTCATGTTGAACTCTGGCATCTTGTTTTTCTTTCTCCTTCTAAGTGTCATGTTTTAACCAAATCTTTCATGTGATGAATGAGTTTGTTTTGGACACTGAGGAAAAAGCTTGAAAGGCTGAAAATCTACCTAAAGATGTTAAAATAACTTCTGCTAAAGGTAAAAAAAAAAAAAAAAAAAAAAAAAAAAGCAACAAAGGAGGTGTGTGTAGAACAGCTCTCTGAGTTCATATACTTGGGAAAGAAAGGGCTTGGAAGGAAAAGCAACTTTCCCCATGCCAATAAAAATGTCATCATCAATTTTGACTGACTGCCTGGCACTAGGCTGGGTGAGATGCTGAGCTGGGAGTAAACTGTAACTCAGCAAACACTGAAGCATATGACTAAGTCTCAGCACAAGCATTTACTTGAAATCAAGGCTGACTAAAATGATCTGTCAGCTTTCAAGTGGCGGCTTGGCCATCAAGGTCCCACCCCGCCCACATCCTAGGATAAATGGTCAGGCAGACAGGCTTGGTGATTGCATGTACCCACCTCTGGCCAGACCACTGTGTCCTTTGCCAAGTGTTTTGCCAGTTTTTTTCAGTTCCAGTCCCTCTGCGATCTGCTTAGCTCTCCTCCACAGGTTAGCAAAGAGGATACCCTTTCATCTCCTGGTGCAAACAAATCCCTCCTTGGTTACAGTGGCCATAAAACTCCTCCCCAGTCTGACATTCAGTCATCAGCGTGTGGCCTCACCTCGCCATCTGGGTCTCAGACAGCGTGTTTTCACAACATAGCAACGGCTGTGAGAGCTCCCAGCCTCCTGCTCTGTGAACATCACGCCCCTTTGATGAACCATCGTAGGCCTGGTAGAGCTGGATCCAAGTGCCAGCTCTGGATTCAGACTGGGAACTTTCCTTTGAAACTACAAAGCTGAGCCACAGCCACCAACAGAGCAGCCAGGTCGTCCCCCAGGTAACCCCTGGAAGCAGGTCAGGGATGACTCTTGCAGTAGTGGGCATGGGACCTGGCCAAGCCTCACTCCTCGCACACTGTTGTTTCAGCACTCCCTTGCAAGAGGCGTCTCCAGCACCATGCTACAGCAGTACAGATAAGCTGGGCTGCCTTCTTCAGGCCCAAGACACTTTTTAGAAAAGTACGCTGATTACTAAAATAACCTTAAAATTGCTAAGTATTACAGACTTGAAGAATGGCCACGGGAGGTCAGGAATAGAGAGAGGACCTTGCATCTAGGCACATGGCTGGCAAAAAGAAAGCTCATTGGGATTCAGTGTTACGCTGCTTCTCCTAAGGAAGGAGAAATGTTTGTTGCACCCCTATCATATATGACTGTCCTCGAGTGTTTGGTGGATGCAGTGGAAATGCTCTTCACAACCTTGAATGTCAGAAGTCAATCGCACAGATCTTTACTGACATAGTGGTGGAGTTCACTTCTTAAAATCACTTTTATTCTGTAAAAAAATTGTTGCTCAGAGAAGCTGTGGATGCCCCATGGGGGCATTCAAAGCCAGGTTGGATGGAGCTTTTAACAACGTGGTCTAGTGGGAGATTAGACCCCCACAGCGGGAGTCGGAACTGGATGGTCTTTAAGGTCCTTTCTAACCTAAAACATTCTGTGAAATTGGCTGCAAAGGTTTCAGATGGGATAGCAACACATTTCTAGAGTATTAGAAATTAAATTATATTAATTGCATTAATTATGCCAGAAGAAACATGCCTCTGTTCAAAGTAGCATTTCCGTTATAGGGGTATTTAGCACCTGGTGGCTTTGCTGCTCAGAACTGATGGAGTGTAATGTGTAAACAGATAAAAAAAAGTAGAACCTCAGCTAGCTGCAGGTGGATGCAGTGGATACAGCTGGGGGTGTGAGTTATGGCATCCAGTTTATATATTAAAATATAAAAATATGATGCAATATGATATGATATGTGAAAGGGCTTTTTTGATAATGAAGGTGCTCATCCAGCTGCTGGGGAAGTGGAGAAGTACTGGAGCAGGTAGACAGCAGCAGTGTCTTTGCTGGTGCCATCGTATGACTGTCCATCACTGCCTGGATTGAGTACTCACCAGTGTTTCAGGCAATGTGTCATGGTTTAGGCTCCAGTAATAAATATTTCATTTCCATTTAACTCTCTAAATGTATGAGCCTCATTACTTCAGTCTGCTCTTATTTCGAGAGTTCAGAGTAGCTGTGGTATACTCATGCCCCAGTCAAGGTTCTGGCATAAGCATCTGTCACCAATGCAACCCAAGGAGTTCCTCTGTGGTATTTAGGTCACCTTCCAGTGAATGACATCCATGACTTTATACTGACTCAACCATGAAATCGTGGTTTTCCAGATAGAGAAAAGAGAACACAAACTGACTACTCTTCTGGAAATGATTTTGAAATTACAGATATTCTGCCATCATTAGGAACCTTAATGAAGAACATGAAGAACATTTTTGCTTCCAAAATGCAATGAAGAAAGAGAATTTATTATTTTATTTTTACTTTTGTCTGCATGAATAAAAGAGTAAAAAGAATGATTAATTTTTCACAAATTACTTAAAAAAGAATTAAAACTAGAATCTGTAGAATACGCCAAGTTAAATAAAAATTGAATATATGTGCAGTTCTTTACAAAGGTTTCTTGGATGTGTTACCCAAATGCTGTGATTAACACAAAGACATCATGTCTGTGCTGCTGGATAGGGGCAGAGAGAAAGACTCTGGGGAGCAACCTCTGATACACACATTCAGAAGCGTTCAAGAATTTCATTACACTCAGTTCTCAGTAAGGAGAAGTGAGCTGATTAACTGGGCTGTAGTGTGTCATCGCCTTATTAATTGGAAGTAAAAAGCTTCATCCTATGGAATATTTTTGTGTTGTGTATTTATAAATAGATATGTGTATATAGACATCTACTGCTTATGTATTTATTTACAATATCATCTTAAATTTTATATATTTATATTTTGTACCTTGCCTTGTATGTGTCTATTGAAGTATTGCTATTTTGTTGATATAATTGACATTTTTTCTCTATCCTTTAGTGACTGTCACATGAGTTCCTCAAGGACAATGGACCCGAAGGTGCGGGAGACTGAAGGATATGGAGAAGACAACTCAGGTAGAACTGCTCCCTTCCTCAAAAAACAAAAAGGGCTGAACTTAAGCTTAGCTCTGTCACAGAAGTGAGTGTATTCATATAGAGAATGCATTCTGCCTCTCTCTCCTTCTACCTCCAAGACTTGTGTCAGTTTTGACATTTCTTGACTCTTGAAGTCAGATTTTTGTAGCATCTTGTGACAGTTAACTTTTCTACCCAACAAGATCCAACAATAACTGAAACACTGGTAGGGATGTTTTCCAATGCTGTCATCCCAACCTACAATGGACAGGCGGTAGTTGTTGGGCTGTCTTGTGCAAAATACTGAATTCTTTATGGAGCTAGGAACTGATAGTGATTCAGGTCTTTCCTCACTGAGCAGACTATCACTGTCTTTGAGGATTACTGTTTGATTTCTGTTTTAATACTTTGTGATCCATTGAGTCTTATAATTAGCATTCAAAACATTTTCGAATGTATTATATAACTGACACTGTAACAGCATTAGCCTCCTGATACTGCACATTTCACCTAAGTAAGCCATTTCTACATTTAAATTGCTTTCAGTAACAACATTGTCCTTATCATCACTATTTTGCTTGCTGAACAAAGGCAGTGTGTTTCCAAGTTGTAATTTCTTCTCTACATAGTGGGCTGTTAATACCAAAGTTTTTCTTCCCAGTCTAATTATCTCAAGAGGCAAGTAGAAACTCTATTAGGAAAGATCCTACACTGTAGGTTATTTTTATGTCATAAACACTGCAATCCATTCTCTCAGATAATAGTAATTTCATGCTATCAGTATAGTCTTGAAAGACACTAATGCAAGAGCGGACTGTGTTTCCTCTTCCAGGAAAAAAAAATCCACTTATGAAAAAAATTATATGGGAATTATTATTGTTCTGATAGCCTGCAAATGCTGCTGGTTGCATCTTCTTTATGTTTCTTCACTTAGGAAAGAAAAAATCAAAGTTCAAATCTTTCAAAAAGTTTTTTGTTAAAAAGAAAAGGAAAGAAACTTCTTCAGGGAGCAGCAATCTGAAGCTATTCCAGTCAACAAGTGATGTGGCGGCCTCACATGACATGCATGCTAGTTTTGATTCTGAAGATGAACACGAGTAAGTCTTTGGACTGTGGCTGGTAAATAAATACATTGCTGCTATGAGATCAGTAGATTACAGATATCCTAAATTGCCTCCTTTTCTTATCCAGAATGCTGCACTCTCAAACAGTTGCCTTTTTCAGGAAAGTACAAATTACAATGCTTGAGGCAAGGCAAATTACAAATGGAGAGGATGGGGTGCAGCAAGAAGTAATAATTAATAAAGCTTTTGTTTAAGCATTAGTAATCCTTGGGTTATTGTTTCATCTTCAAAAAAGGGAATTAGGTATAGCTTCGATTTTATCAGAATTTTCATATAGTCCTAAGACATATCTCCCAAGGATTGCTAAAAAATGTAGACGCCTAACCATTTATGCCAGTTTTTGAAAGCATGAAAGAGATAAGGGGATGACTGCAATTGAAATCAGCAGGAACCAGAGGCTCTAAAGCTTTTCTTTCTTTTGCATAGCTAGGATTCATCTGACCAAAGGATAAATGCCTGCATCTGAATTAGTCACCAGCTGCCTTTTACAATCAGCAGATAGAAGTCAGCATTTCTAAGAAAAAGCTCATACCATTCTTGTGTAGATGTATGAAGTTAGTCTGATGAACCATGTTCTAGATGTGCCTGTTTCTCCCCACTGAGTGTAAGCAGGAGCCTGGGGTGCCTGGCACAGGTACCTATTAGTGTCTGAAGTTAAACAAGACGCATCCTAGTCTCTGTATCTTGATACCTCCTGTCTTCATTAAGGCTTTCCCAAAAATGTTATCTATTATATTTCATCCCAAATTAACCATGAGAAACGGGATACAAAGTTCAGATGTCTTCCTGGATGGACTGGGGGACCTCCGTCCATGGATGGAGTGCAGCCGGGTGCTACAGCTGTGCAGAGAGACAGGAAAGGCAACCCATCCTGTCCATTTGAAACGGCATGGTGCGATGCAGCCACTAGGCAGCGCCAAACAACCGAAAAAAAATTACTAACAAGTAGTAGTAGTGTTGGCAAGGGTAGCAGTAGTCCAGCTTGAAGCCCCAGGAGTTCCGGGTTGGAAGCAGCGGATCTAACACCGTTTTTGTTCAACAGTATATTTTTAAGACATAGATGGTGAGATTTTATCTCCCTCATGCACTGCTCATCAAGGTCATGTCTGAGTGGGTACAGACTTTGGCTGGTTTTGCCATGTCCTTGTGCATTGCTTGCAGGGTTATAAAATTATTATTTCTTAATACTTGTTTAGATAAAGACCATGAAATACCAGGAAAGGAAGGAAGAAGCATAATGAGAGCACTCATAATCTGGGGAGACATCTAGATTACCTCCACTACACATGTGGGAGGTATGCGTCTGCTAGGAAGAGAAAGCAAGGACAGCATGCAGGGATAAAGGTGCACATGCAGTAATGCTGCTTAGCTGGCAGCTCTTGCAATCTTTGTAAGATGTCGGTGCACTGAGCAGCCATCGAATCCAGACTGACACTTACTTTACAAATTGCTATAACTCTCTGACCTTGGATGCATCGCGGAGATCACATTTTCACACAGATAAATTGTTCTTCTAATGTCTCTGATGCATTAAGCAGTAACAGCAGGCTTTCCTTCCTTCTGCAGCAGGCATACAGATTAACTTTTTCCTGCAATTGTTTTATCAAATGTATTTATAGCAGACATTCCAAGGAAAATGTTACTTTTTGCCATGTTTGTTTATGTTTCTGAATGTCTCTATGACAGTACCTAGGATCCAAAAATACACACAATTATTTTTCTAGGGAGTCTGTTCAATTAGCTTGATAGTTACTTGAATCCAAGCAGTTCTGTGTTCTGCTTTGCCATTTCATAGCAGTCATAGTTTAAAAAATTAAAAGAAGGGACTCCCAGAAGAAATGCCATATGCACACATTTCTGGTCCCTGCTAAGTTGAGTTGTGAACTAAGCTGAGGAAAATGAGCTCAAAAGACCTCCTAGCAGCCAGCTTTCTGCCCATATGTCTCCCCTAACATTCCCATGAAGAAACAAGGTGTTCATCCCCCACATGTAACATTTTTAAGATAAGTTGCATGCTGCATCCATCGTAAGTAGGAGTCAGAACATGAGAGAAGCTACCCACAAAGCTTTCTTTGCTTCTTTTCACCAGGCCACAAATAATGTCCCTGAAAAAACATAGCCACAGGCTCATAAGGGAAAATCCCAAGGATCTTGTTGTAGAGCACAGGATCTTGTAAGCATAGTGCTTAGATTCACCTGAATAGTGCTGCATAGATTCACCTGAATGACAGTTTGTATTTGTGGAGAGATTTGGAATTGCAGATGTGATGAGTGCTGTGCACATCTGTCTTCCACTGCAGAAGACCACCTGAGTTAAGAGTAAGAGGATTGGCAAAAGAAGTCTATGTGTTTTCACCTGTTTGTTATGTTATTCTAGGGCCCACAAGGGCATTATGGGAAGCAGAGCTTTGTCTCATGACAGCATTTTCATCCCTGAAATTGGACAAGAGTCTACAAGGCCAGTAAGAGTATTTTCTCAAGAAAATGTTTCTGATCGAATTAGAGCTCTACAGGTAATTTGCACAACATGCTTTTTTCAAATGCAAGTGGAATGTCCTTCCAGGCTTGATTTCTTTTACAATGTTAATAGTCAAATATTAGATTAGCAAATAATATCTGTTTGCAGCTTAATCAAAAGTTGTGCTTATTCATCAGACAGTGGTATCTTACCTCAGTTCTGCTGAAAAGGTATTTGTGAAATGAATAGGCTGTTTGGCTCCTAAAGAGAATCTCTAATGTGAGATGTCCTGTTTTCTTGACTATTCATTTACAAAGATAATGTAAAGGTAACTTGCTGACCTGAACTAGAAAACATACTTGGGAAACTTCCATCATGATCACATGTTCATGTTTATTTTGCCATACTGAAGATGAAACTCCAGCCTACCATGAAACTGGGACCTCCACCTCCATTTGGGTATCATGCAAAGAGGACCGATGATGCTGGGACCAGTTCTGAGGATGATGGATTACCAAGAAGCCCTCCAGAAATGTCTTTGTTCCAGGAAATGCTAAGTTCAGGCACGACAATGAGAGTGAGTGGTTCTGGTGTTGACAAAAAACAGTGTTTAATTACTTGTTTCACCCATGTGTGGAGGCAGAATTAGCTATTTGGCTTGCTATATGCATTGCTACTTTACCTCCAAACAATTCAGAAATAACTTATTTGAAGATAGAAAGTGCTCTGTCTCTATAAACAATTACTGAAAATCTCTGTTCCTGATGAAATGTAAAAATAATTCCAGAAAATGCAGAACTGGAAAAGAAAGTGTGTTTGTGTACATTCATGGAGATTCTGTTTTTTTAGGAACTACAGAGAGCTGTCAGTCTTAAAAAGTCTGAAAAATCTGTATTCTTCCTTGAACGTGTTGATAAGAGAGCTCTCATGTTTAATCTTTTTCTAGTCTGTCATAGAAAAAAGAATCATAAAATAATTTGAAACTGTTTTGTCTTTTTAAATGGTAGTTTTGTTACACATAATTTCATTCTTTATCTGCGTGTCTTTGACTTCATGTTTGCAGTATCCTTACTAATCTTTAAGACTACTGAGTAAAACAATTTATGTTGTCAGTATCTGTGTGCTTTGTGCAGATGATTTCTGCTAGTATATCCATCTCATTTGTTGTCTTTTACTGAATCTCTTCCTCATTCCATCCCACAGTTCTCTGACTCTCACAAGCACCTTAGCTCTTTGAGTTTAGCTGGAACAGGCAGTGAAGAAGAAGAACAGGTAACTTCTGCCAAATGTATTAAGAGCCAAGCAATTATGTGTAGTAATCATCTAAGAAATGCAAGGCATAAATATTACTTTTTTGTCTGTCTGCTGCAAAAACAATCTTGTATGTATGTAGGTGCATGTCCATTCATTTTGCCTTTTTAATGCCTGTCCTTCTAGAATAAAGTTATGATTGTTTAACAGCATAATTCTGACATCTAGTAATCTTCTTTTAACAATAATTAAGCCTTCTAAAATAGTTCATATCCTCTAGCAAAATTTACAGACGTGATTTAATCTCCAAATGCAACCAATCAGATTTAGACACTAAAATAGTATCCTTTTTTTAAAGATGGGAAATTGCAGTAAAGGTTGGTTAGGTTACATGCACAGGTTAAGGGAGAATGGTTATTAAGGAGCCATGAACAATATCTAGATCACAGAATCACAGAATGTTTTGCATTGGAAGGAACCTCACAGCCCACCCACTCCCAAACCCTGCCATGTACAGGGCTGCCCCCCCCAACAGCTCAGGCAGCCCAGGACCCCATCCAACCTGGCCTTGGAAGCCTCTGATCCTCCGAAATCTGCCCTAACTCTTGGTTTAAATACAAAATTACCTCACACCGCTACAGAAACAGTTTGACGATAGTGACTGACGTTACTGCTCAGGAAAAAGAGGTGAAGTCTTTAGTGGGACCGTGGCCATGTGAGCCAGCACAAGCTGGGAATTCTGCTGAAGTGATATTTTCAGGACTTGAGTACAAGCAAATAGATGACTTTCTTCAATCAGCAGTCAGATGTTCTGGCTGATTAAAGAGCTGTTTTGAAAGGCTCTGAAGAGTCCCTTTTAGTTATCTGCAGCTGGAGTTATGGTAGAAAGAACACGGGGGGTAAAAGAAAGAGTGCTTTCTAGAAATAGTAGGAGAAATGGAGGGGAAATGCAGAGAGGAAATAGAGAAGCTAGTCCTGAGCTGACTACTTCTTGCTAATTATGCAGAATGTATTTTAAGGCCAGCTGCAGTAGGGCTCAGCAAAGATTTCTGGCCTTGCTTGTTGGATTCCACATGAAACCATTTGAAAAGCTGCTTATATGCAGCAAGGTCATAATATTTTTAAAGACTAAAAAGAACATGTGAAGGAGGTATTTCTTGAAATCTGGTGTAGGCAGACTGTAAATATAGTGTTCAGTCCAGATGTGTGTTGGCTAAGGAAGGATTTATGTCTCCCTTTAGTTCCATTAACTTCACTCTCTGACTCACTCTCTGACTCCTGAGATGCCACTGTGACTCTGTGGTTGCTCAGCTTTTTCCACACATCCCATCATTTAGCTCACAGCACTCTTTATCCCAGTCTAGTTTCAGAGTACAGCCATAAAGTAGCTCCATCAGAATGCTTTCCTCCTGAACTGCAAGGTCTGCTCAGTATTCAGAAATTAGCTGCACTCCTACAAGTCAGAGGAGACCGCTTCACAGGGATGAGAAGTTTTGCACAACGTAACGCTGAGATTTTGGGTAGCAGTGACACCTTTCTGTGTCTTGGAATCCTTCCTGGCTCAAACAGGAAGAAAGAGATCGCATCCACTCCTTTGGAATGGAGCTTTTTTGCTTCCCTCTCCTCATGCTAATCAGCAGTACCAGCTGAGGGACAGCTGAGCTGTGTGTATGAGGTTTGCGGGATGGGGTCATCCTGCTGGTACCTCCTCCAGCAGAGTTGGCTGGAGCCAGGCTCCGTGAGACAGGCAGCTTTTGCAGTCAGCTCAGAGCTGGCATTCAGTTGGGCTGCTGAAATGTAAGTGGAAAAACAAAGCAGATTCTCAGTTTTCCAGTGTATTCGCCAATGCTCAGCACTGCCAGAGAGAAGATATGCAAGTTGTCGAGGAAAAGCAGGAGTCAAAAAAAACCAAAAAAAACAACAAACCAAAAAAACAAGGCAGGCAAATAGTGATTTGCCTTGAAAGAGAACATGTGCTGTGTCTTTGTCATGGAGCTGAAATGTCAATGTATTCACTGCTAGGTACTAATGTATAATGCAGCCACGTATCGTTTGTTGTACATTAGTCATGTTTGAGTACTACACTGCAGATATTGTAGAGTGGAAATTAATGAGAGCATCCATTATTCAGTGGCTGAGATGCTTTTTTTTTTTTTTTGTAACTGAAAGCATGATCGAAAGCTGTGGATCCAGCCTCCCCTGAAATCAATGGGAGTTTTTACCTGGCCATTCAGGAAGCTGTAGCAAACCCTAGGTATATTACAGAATGTCCTTTATCTGCAGTGCATAATGCAAAACTCTACTTACAGAAAATGCTGCTGCTTTTCCCTTACCTAAATATAAAATCAGCACTGTTCTCATGTAAATCCATCCTCTTTGATAAAATACCACTTCCAGAGCCTTCCATGGAGCAGAACAAAGTATGACAAAGGAGGAAAGCTTTTCTGATGAAATGAACTGGAATTTCAAGCCTACAAAGGGAGTCTTATCAAGAGTTGTCAGAGGTTGTGTTAATGTTACGACAGATAGGTTAGAAATATCATTTTGCCTATTTGCCAAAACTGAATCAGAGAGAAAGAAGAAGAACCCTGTTTCAAGTCATTTTTTACAGTTTTTTCAGTCTCCTTTTTGTGTCAGCTCTGGGAGTTGGGTAGTTTTTGTGAAGCACAAGGGAAGCTGAATTCCAGCTTTATGAAAGTACTACATCCTTTGGAGCACTCAGGAGTTTTTTTTGGATGGATTATTGTTCAGGTTGGAAGTTCCAGGCCACTAGTAGGAATTGTCCGTCATTTCCTTTCCCAGAATAGTCTATAAATGAGATGTTACATTTCAGGTAAACTCCCTAGTTATTTTGCAAATGTAAGTACATGAGGAAAAAAATGCAAGCTGACTTTGGCATTGATGTCATTGATTTTTTATTCTTTTTTCTCTGGGAGGGTGTTGTGGAGCTGGAAGAGATAGATGCAGTTTAGGAAGATAGAGATGTTCCAACCAGACATAACTGTGGGTAGGAGCATAATAGGCACAAAAGCTGGAGGATGGACCCAGAAAGGAAACCAGACCTTTAGGCTCTGTAACAGAGTATTCTCCATAAATCTGTCTTCTAAAACATGTTGACCATGTATTTTTGTGCTTTAGATCTTTTAGTTAAATAAGTATCAGTTGCTCTTCCACACTGGACAGCATACCTTAATAGTCATGTGGCTAAAAATTCACTATTGCTAATACCAGTATTCTGTGTGCAACATTAAGAAATACAATGTTTTTTAAAGGATCTCAGAAGGAAAAAGCAGCAGCCTTAAAATGCAAATAAACATGCCCTTTTCTAAAGAAATGTTATATTCATGTATTGGTTTCTTTGTCTGATTTTATGCTTGGGGATTTTTTTTCAGGTTACATTGGGTCCTCATTCCAGATCTCACTCTACAGATGGGCAGCTGTACCCTCGGCATGGAAGTGCTAAAATGAAATCTCCCCATGACTCTGACAGTAGCATTTCACCTGCTGCCAATTTTGAAACTCCACCTGAGCTTTCCTCATGCTTGGATAACTCTGCTGCTAAACATAAGCTTTTAATAAAGCCCCGGAACCAGAGGTCCAGTAAAATGAGAAGATTTTCTCAGGTAATTGTGAAAATAAGCATCACCGATGACACAAAAACAGGAAGTTCTTTCTGGACTTTGTGTTTCAGATTCGGATGTGATAAGAAAAGGCATATTGCAGCATGGGTATTTCATTGGTTGTTAATAGCTGTTATTTCATGGGACTAGCAGCAGCCTAAATATTATCAGATCCCTTGTCAGCTCTTGTGACACAGAAGTTTGTGTCACAATTGAATAAATTTACCATGCAGTACAATTTAGTATCTTGTCTGTGATGCGGTAGTTGGACCTGAGTGTTTCATTTCTTACTTAAATAAATAAAATTGGAAAGTGTTAACAATTAGCTTGTGTACTTTTCCTGGTCTGAAAGATCTTTTGAAATGTTAGTCTCTAACAGACTTGATGGAGGAGATGCTTTCAGTTCCCAAATGTAATTGGACTGATTCTTACAGAAAGTACAGAAATAATAAGCGGTGATCTATTAGCTGGAGACAAATTCTGTACATTAGGACTCTTGAATTCAGCCCTCTCTCTGTCTGCAAAACCTTTAGAGCCTTTACATGCACAACAGACACTTAAAATAAGTCTCTGCAGAAAAAGAACAGTGTATTACTGATCTTGTTTTTTAAACCATCATTTTACAACATCATTTATCTCCTTTGTGGTTTTTTGTTTGGTTGGTTTTTTTACTGTGAAGGGCATAGCTTCAGTTTACTTCTATCTTCTAGGAACTAAAGTTTACAGTTCTTCCTTAAGAACTTTATTGTTTGTGGTTTCTTCCAACGTTTTCAATACATTAAAGCTGTTAAATTGGTTTGCTTAACAAAGGAGATATTATTCTTTCTGTATTTAAATGTGGCTTAGCTGACATTTTTTCTCTTTTTCAAAATCTCTGTGTGATCTTTGGGCTTGGTAGAGCACTGCTGTGAACAGCACAGTGATGAGGCCAATTATTTTGAAAATCATGTAAAGCAATAACTGCCTGATCAAACCTCTTTCTCCCTTGTAAGCTTGTTAGCAAAACACTTATGTTGCTCTAAAAATAATGCCTCCTATTTTTTTCCAAGGAAACTAAAACAGATCCAAAGAGCACAAAAACACTATTTGATGAAGCAAAGTTTCAGCTACAAAACACTATTTTCCAACAAAGTCACCACCATTAGCTATGCATTTTTCCAGTAATGAACAAGAGCCTGCATGCTGCACTTGTAAAAATCTGCAAAATGCACCACCCAGCCTTCACTGTGCTCATGTCCACTGTTTGGTCTCCATAAATATTCAGCATCAATAAATATCAATGGGTGCCATTTTTTTTTTTTTGCATGGAGGAATTTAATGACACACCTCTGATTCACACACACTTCTGCATCAGACACTGTTGTGTCAGACCACCCCTCTGCTGCCATCTGTCACACAGCAACAACATAGAATGGGATACTGGTGGGAAGGTTCAACCTCCACTGCCATACCACCAACATCTACCGCTGGCATCCTGGGTCAACATCATAACATAGGAGGTGCTACTTTTGGAGCATGTCTCATACAATTGCTTTGTCCATTCTACCTACAAACTGACATTAATTGAGCCCTCCTGGTTTTTCATGAAGAGTGTTTCAGTGTTTAGATAATACAGTTATTAATATTTGCCTGGCCAACCCTGCCTGTGCACTCTGCTTCTGGCTTATCTATATGTTCTTTTATATTCCTGGGCCCTCACTAGAAGCACAAGAGGCATTGTAGCTTTGTCTCTGCGTTGCACTTGTGAAACAAGAAACTGGGGAAATCCTAATATCTTCAGAATGCCAATTTTGTGTTCTTAGAACAAGGGCCCATATCCAAAATATATATTTAACCAACAAACTACAGTGAATCAGTGAGCTAATATATGCACTATGTGAAAATGCATATTCAGCAGCTTAATAATATTTTCAAATAATTCTGTATATTTAGCCAGTCCTTAACTGAAATGTAATCACAAGACCTCACAGATAACTACATATATATTTATGAACTTTTATGAAATAGTCTAATTCTTGGGGGAAAAAAAAAGACTTGTGCACAAAGGAGGAAAGATTATAATGCTGTATTACAGTGTGATCAGACAGAAAACTGCCGCATGGGAGTAGATACTCAGCTGGCATAGTGTGTCAGAACCTACCAGGCTTCTTAGTTTTTTGTTCTTTCTTCGATGTAGGTTTACTCTTTAGGAAGAATGGCTTGTTTTATTTTTATTGCTATTGTGGAGTAGCAAAACACAAAGGGACAGATTTTCAAATGCTGCTTTTTGCCTAAGAGCAACACAACATATCCAGTATGCTCAGAGGAATCAAGTGCCAAGGATGCTCCAATGGTCATTGTTTTGATGAACTTCCCATCTATAAAGGCATGAAAGCCCTAGTTGTGCAGAAAAGAATGTCACTGATTGCTTTTATATTGGTTAAATACATTATTCCCGAGTCTTCGTAGATAAAAATGCACCCAGTACGTAGGTTAAGAAAACAGCATGCTCAGTGTTGGAGGCAAGTTTTGCCTTCCTGTCTAAGATCTTGGTTGTAAATGCCGTGTTTCAAAAAACAAAGCAGCAACATACAAATCTGCACATAGTGATGGAGCTTTCTAAATTTCTTTCTTGCAGAGGACCCAGTCTGAATCTCTGACTGATTTGAGCTGTACACCAGAAGAAGAAGAGGATGATGAAAAGGAGATGCGTGCAGACTTGCCAGATGCTGTATTCAAAACCAGTGATCAAGAAGTGCCTAGCAGCACATCTGCAGCACAGGACGTGGCTTCCTGGCAGAAGCCCAGAATGCCTGAGGACCTTCCCCCTGCTTTGACACTGGCAGTGACTCAACCCATTTCTGAGTCTGCTGTCGCACAGGAAGCTTTGCTTCCAGAGAATGAACCAAAGGGCTTCCAACCAATGCTGGATACGTGTGTGAAGTCTGAGAGCTTGCTGCTGACAGAAGGCTCCACAACTTCTCTGAACTCTGCTCCAGATGGAGAAGTACAAAAGCCAAAAGATTCCTCAGCAGCATTGGTTCTGTCTGGGGATGTAAGTAGCAGTGTGTCAACAAGTACTTTAAATAAAGGAAACAAGGAGCTTCCTTCTGTGTTTTCAGCACATGAAATACCATCTGAAGAAGATATTTCAACTAGTAAGAATAGTAATATTTGCTTGGAAGGGTTAGAAGAGAACATACAGAGTGATGATCAGGTACCCGTGGAAATGTCCTGTAACGAAGAGTCAAAGAAGGTGGTTGCTGTGTCATCAGAGTCTAGCAAGCAGTTTTTCATAGGTTCTTTCCAGCCCACGGATTCATTCCATGTTTCACATCCCTCTTCTTCATCCCAGGTGGGATCATATGCTTCCCAGACTTTAGAGAAAGCAAAGACTGTACAAGAAGCAGCTGCTTCTGATAAAGAGAACAGTCAGTCACTGGTCCACAAAGAAGAGATTTTGGGGAAGAAAAATGAAAAAACTGTCAATGAACTCAGTGCCTTGAGAAAGTTCTCTGTCTCCTCTGCACGGGAAAGGCCTAAAACCAGAAGCCTACACTTTCCAGAAGGTTCATTGTGTGAAAATCCATTAAATACCAGGTTCTTCCTGTCCAATGTGAACGTCTCTTTGAAAAATGAGAAGTTGAGCGAAGACTTGCAGAAGAGATCAGATCTGGAAGATAGAAAAAGTAGCGACAGAAACCAAGCTTTGCTGCCAGAATCTGACTCTGAGAACATGGGCCAGTCTACAGAAATTTTGGCTGACTGTGATTCTCCAGCTGTCGATGCAGTTCCGGTGCAAAGTGATTCTTCTGCAGTATCTCAGAATCAGCAAATCTGTGAAGATAAAAATCCTTTTCAAGTAAAACTTAAATCCACCTCACTGTCCTTGAAATATAGAGACCACTTGTCATCCGAATCAAAAGGAATTATAAGATACAGCGCAGAATTTAATTTAGAAAATCAGGGATTGACTTTATTTCTCAAAGGAGATAAGGCAGAGATCAAAAAAACAGCCGATACAAATATTGATGGTTCTTTAAATGAAAAGATCAAATCCAAAGCAAAGTTCTCTGAACAGCTTAGTAGCAAACCTCCATTGCCTAAAAAGCCAGTCTTTCAAAACATAACTGTTCCAAATACTAATGCAAGCAGGGAGAAGCAGGACAAAACTATTCATGCTCCAGAATCCAGAAATGAAGAGAGAGACATGGAGAAAAGGCCAAATCCTAGTAAAGTGCCTGGTAAGACTCTTGATACTTGTAAAATTAACTCATAAAGAATGACCTTACCATGTGTGATTCACACATTCTGTTGTGTGATTCTCAAATCTGGTGAGCTGGAGCTGAGGGCTCTGCCTTTGGTGATCCCTCATTCTTCCATGTGATTATCAGAACAACAGCAGGGAAGAAGTAGCAGGCAAACTAAGGCATTTTTACCTGAGATTTTTCTGTTTCATAGTATTGTTTATAGGATGTTCAAAGTGACACTCAACAAATACAGAGTATTAGCAAGTATTGTAAAAGAGAAATATCAAGCTACTAAATGTCTCCGTTTAGAGCTGCTTTCTGAAATTCAAAAGGCAGTGCCCTATGTGAGGTGAATGACTCAGACCTGTAGACCTTTTCCTGCCATAGTATTCAGACAGAAATACTGCTAACTGCCTGGCATGCTTAGCACACTATTTATATGTTGTCTCCTATGAGTCTTGCATGTTCATTTATTCGTCTTTACCATTACTCAATCCTTGTTTAAAAACAAGAATTAGCTACCCCGCAGCTTGCTGGACTAAGATCAAGTCTACTGCAGATTGTTAAATTGCACCCAGTTGTCTGTATTGTAAGCCAAAATGTAATTGGGTTAGAGTTAAAAAATTTAGTCCTCTGGAGACCAATATATTGTGTGCCACAGGCAGAGAACAGAAAAGGCGACACCGCCATCTGAGGTCTTTGCAACCACAGCAAACAAGTTAAGTACACTCAAGCAATTATAACTGGGAAAACTCTGCTCTTCTTTTCGAAGAGTGACCAAATGGGGGGAAAAAATCTTTAGGTTTTCCAGTCTGTAGGAGGAACTTATTCCCTGCCCCAGTCTGTCTGGTCATGAGTCTAATGTCGAGAATGTGAGGAGATGAGGTTTCTGCATGCCACAGCAGAGCTAGCCTTTCAGGTTGCTGTTTTCCACTGGTGGTCAGGCTCCAAGCCTGGGGGAGAGGAAACGCTAAGCTGAAAGAAGACATTAGAATGTGTCAGGTCATGTGTTCTGTACAAAAACCTCTTCCTGGCCCCACAGATAACTTGCTGAAGCTGAGCAAGACAGTGCAGCAAAAATGCACTGAGCACTGATGGGTGCAGGAGGAGGAGGAAAGGAAAGAAATGGAGCTGGAGAGCACATTTCTCCTGGCTACTCCTCTGCTCCTGTGGCTCTGGACAAAGGAAACTCCTGGCCCTGGCTCAGGGCTGTTCTCTACAAAATGGTGTGTATGCACAAGAGCCTGGCCTCACTGGCAGGGCTGTGCACAACTGGAGCTTGACCTGGTGCTGCTGGCCCTGTAGCACTGTTTCAGACATGTTCCTCTCTAACTGGCAGTATTACAGCATATTGGTATGGCCTGGTATTGTCTGACATGAAGATTCAGATTAGCCTGTAGCAGTAATTAGTCTTATCTAATTCCTCTTTGTTATTATTATATCATAGTAGTTTTCCAGCTTGGAACAGCTTTGTAATGCATTCTGCTATTTTAGCATGCCAGGAGTGAAAGCTTAATTCTAAATAGAGAACATTCTACTCCAACTTGAACTGAATCTTTCCAGGTCTTTCTTATGCCACTATAGATCTTTCTCATTAGAAATGGGATCGAGTCACTACCTCAGCCTGAGCAGGCTACCACATGCTGCAGGTGAGTGAGGTACTCCCACCTTCTCCAGTCATCTGGGCACAACAGCAGGTTTTGTAGGGGGAAATTAAGCAGCATCACGCAGGAGAATTGCTGTTGTACCTCTATAGGGCATCTTGAGCCATGGGATACAATGAGAGAGAAAACAGCTTTATGGGACAGTGCAGTACTCCTGTGCAAATGTCATTTTAAGCTCTTTGAAACTATTGCCTCAGTCCAGTGACTCAGGAGAGTATCTTAGTAAGTGCCAGAAATCTGACAAGCACTATCAGCATCACTCTTCCAGGGATCAATCGTGTGGCTTAACAACAAATTCTGGCGATCAGGTGTTCTAGACTGCTCACTTTTTTTTGTCCAACGACCTTAAGAGCTGTGGTTGCTACTGAGGAACACTTGACACTGTCAGGGAGTTTCTGCATGCTGTGTGTTAGGAAATTCCTCAGCTCAACAGGAAGGCATGCTGTGGAATCATAATGCAAAAGGGTATAATACCCTTTTCCTATACAATCATCTGCAGAAACCCAGTTTGCTGTGTCTCAGGATGAACAGGAGCAGTTTGGTTCATGGAGCTCAATTTTTGGCTTCTCAGCATTCTTGGTACCAAAGGCCTTGTGAGGGTTGCAGGCAGGCTGCTGTTCCACCAAGGGGAAAGCAGCAGTCTGGCCCACCAGCATTTCCTGGAAATGAGCAGGGGTTTGTTTGGTCTCTGTGCAGCTGCAAGGTGGCTTTTTAATGGATGTGTGAAATTAGTCACTCTGTCTGTCCGGAGTATAAATTTTTCTAGAGCTAAAAGCACAAGTACTTGCAAGAATTTAAAAAAATTAAGCTGTGTTTTTGGGAGTTGATAGTCTATAAATCCTGTAAGAGGCAGAAAGAACACATGCTAGCAAGTTATTACAAGAGCAAAACTGTAAGTAATACCCATGTGAATGTGCACATGAGAATATTTAAAAATCAGTGACTGTAGCAGAGAGATATTCTCTAAAAGAAAAAAAGGAACTTGGAGGGGGACAATGATTGTAATGGCGAAGGAAACTGGTATGCATTGTCTAGGAAATTTGAGCTTTGAAGCGACAAAGAAAATGTTTCTGGATAAAAGATGTTGCTCTAGTGCTGTCCTGTCCATAGCTGAAAAGAAGACACTTTTTTTTTTTTTTTTTGCCAAAATACATTTGTTTTTAGATTGTGTCAGCCTATTTTGTATCATGGCTGCTTTCCAGCAGTGAAATAGACTTCAATGCAAACATAGCACTTTCTGGTAAAAAAAGACTCTCCTGGCATCAGTGGTATAGATCCAACCAGAAGTCAAATTCTTCAAAGAGCTTGAAGAAGGAAATGCCAGAAATATATTGCCAGATCTTTTAGAATTCTGTGTTCTGAAATTAAGGAACTGGGTGTGTACCCTGGCACAGATGCATGTAGTACATTAATAAACAAAAAGAAATATTTAGGGCAGGGTATATACTAAATGCCATCTGCATTTTTAAAGACTTGATGTTTCATGATTGACCAAAGATATAACAATGTGGAAAGAAATATACACACGAGTGGTCTTACAAAACACTGACACTTGCATATACGGAGGGGTTATGTCCCTGTGTATAGTTGTTTGGATTAGCTAAGAATATGTTTGCTTTCAAAATACACAGGGAGTATGCAAGTTAGCTTTGCTGTTACCAGAGGTATGTCCTTCAGGCAGTTGTAATATTCTGCTTGCACAAATGTATGGCAAAAGCACTCACTCTTTGCAGTCCTCACAGGCGTAAGATGCTCATTATCAGAGACAGGATCTAAATGTTATAAAAAGAGCCTCTGCAATATTTTGTCCACACAGAAGGTTTTAGATTTAAAGGAAACAAGTACAATATCTCAGGCCATACCTAAAACAAATCAATCCCTAACCCTTGGGTTGTTTAAATATGTCTTTGTTGTGGTTATTCACGTATGCAATGCGCACACACACACACAACCTTACACACATTTGAATATATTGAGTATATCTATCCATCAGTAGACAGAAAGAGGCATGTATTTCTCTCACTTGTCTGTGTGTGCATACACCAATGTACAGTAATGAATCAATCATAGATCCTCTTTAGTCCATAAATAGCACCATATCTTCATCTTGTTGCTCACACAGCCAGTCAGATAGACGTGAAAGAATAAATCCAGCAATTGATGGGAAGTGTATGCTTTCATATTCACAATATTTAGGCAGAAGAAATTTCATTTGTAAGAGCAGAGCTCTAGTCTCTAAGGAAAAGGAAATCTTTAGTAAAATGGTGAGGGAAATGGATACTTGCATTTAACACCTGCAGCAGGGGAATTTCCCCCCTTAGGGAGCACTGGGCCAGCCCTGCTGTTATCAGATCCAGCTGAGAAGAGCTTGGGTGATTCTTATCTGAGGGAAAGAATTCAGAAGGTGAGAGAGGGCTCTGTTTGGTTTGGGAGTTGTCTGGTGGTGAGACTCAGAGCTGTGGAAGTGGTGAAGGGTATGGGCCTGGCTGCCAGCAGCCAGAGCAATGAGGCCTGTAATGATCTGTGCTTGGTAGCTGTGGTGGAATGGGTGGAGGAAGCTTTTGAGTGTGGTTTCAAGAGGCAGCAGGCTTCAGCAGCCAATTTAAATTCTAGGTGTTCATAGGTGGAGGCATTAGGCACAGAGCAGACAAGTTCTGACCTGGTGTCCTCCCATTTTCTGTGACTTTTCCCAAGGGGAAGTAGGGGCTCACTCTTCTTTCCAAAAGCCTCAGGCCAAATCTGTTCCAATGAAACAAAGAGAAGAAACTATCATGAGCTTAAACCTATGAGTGAATGAGAGATACATCACTGCCAAAAACATCCTTTATTAGTTTATGAAGTTATTAAATAGAGAGTTGAATAGTGTATTGTTTAAACATACTGTAATAAGAACCAAGGAATATAATTCAGAATTCAGTTTTCGGAGTGTGCCATAGAAGCAAGAGGCTCACCCCTGCTTCACAGAAGGAGAACCAAAGGACAGAGCATTCATGGCATGTCAGTCTTGCATGAATTCCAGCAGAAGATGCCTCTGTTTGCATTCAGCGCTCTATGATGGCAGAGCATACCCACAGGGAACCCTTGTGCTAGCTGCTGTGCATGTGACTTCCGTCAGAAATGGGAATTAGACTGTACTTTTGAGTTCTTTTGGTTTCACTGCGGCCAGCTGGTTCCTTAAATGCTGAGCTTTGATGCATGGTGAATTATAAAAGAATTCTGACTGCCTTATGACCGGATAAGACAGGAGGGTGGATGTATTCATGGGAATCAGACATTCACTGAAATGAGGAAGATGTGCAGACATCTTTTCTTGTGAATTGTTACTTCTTGAGAATGCTTTCAGTGTCTTAGTACTCTTCAGAACCCCAGAGTTTCATTGGAGAGACTCAGATAACCTTAAACTGTGAGAGTGACTCTCTCTACCATACTTTGTCCTATATTGTTTCACCACCATCTTTTGCTAGTACCATAAAGTCATTAAAACAGCAATGCATGTATAGTGCCGCACCGCCTTCTCCAGTTGGAAGCAGGAGGATGTAAGGGACCTCTGGGCAATGGGAAAGATAGTAGATTGTGAATACAATGCAATCTCTTCCTCCTCTTACAGTAATTTTAGCTGACTGATAAGGGAGAAGGTAGCAAATTCTGCAGATTGCATCTGACTTTTTTTGCTGAAGAAAACATTTCCTTATTTCCTTTGCTTTGCCTGCCTGACATACTTCCTGTAGTAAAGACTCACAACAGCAAGAGTAAAATGTAATTACTTGATGAAAGAGGAAAACCCATTCCAGAAGCAGATCAGCTCTTGATCCTGCTCAGAGTAGGTGATGGTACTCTGCTGTCACAAGTCAGGGCTGCACAGGTACATTATCTTTCAACCTTTAAAGATGTTGATAAAGAGCTTTTTCATTGCTACTATAAACAGCAGCATTCTGATATCATCTTTTCCAGGATCATATTTGGCTCTAATTTGGCTGCCTTTTAATTCGCATTACTTGGACGTCTGGTTTCTCATCATGAAAATTATTTCAAAAGCCCAGGTGCTGGGCACCTCCTTCTATAATATCTGCTTTATGGAAAATGCTGTTGTAATAGCAGCTTCCTGACACATCACTGAGGGATTGGGAACCCTGTTGTGCTAGGAAATGCACATCAAAACAATAGGAGGAGGAATCCTAAATACACAAAGATAACACAGAAATGGAAGCGCAGAAGCAGTACGACCATTACACACAGTATGGTAAATAGAACTAGAGCATAGCAGTCATTGTCAGTATTGATTGTTTGGTGGGAGCTGAGGAAGAGCAATGCACAGTTCAGTCGGTGTTTACAGAAAGCCCCTGTGGTGTGACAGGGAAAATGGGACAGAACATACAGGGTGATTTTGAATCAGGCAGACTAAGAAGTAACATCCCTAGCAGAGCCAAGGCAGAAGCTGTGCTCCTGCTATCAAGGAAAGGCTGTTGAGTAAGTTGAGAGGGTTTTCACAGTAAAAGCTTTGATATTTGTGAGGACCAAGGTATTAAAGACAGTAAGGGACACTGCAAAGGCTGTAGTTATGATGGAAAAGGACCTGTGTGTTGGTGTGCCAGCTATACAGGGCCCTGTCTTGAAATCAAGGCCTCAACATGGGGCGAAAAGGAATGTTTGGGGGGATGGAGTTACAGGAAGAGGCTGACCAGGCTGAGGGAGGCTTCAGTGGAGAAACATCTTGGTAACATTGATAATACCTTGGTAACATTAACTGCTGCGTGGATATTCATTAAGTGATGCCTCTGAGGAACACCAGACATCACCATCACCTTCAATAGTGGGAGTCAATCCTCTTATCATAGCAGCATGATCTGGGAACTGATAAAGCACGGAGCCTAGTTTTACTTGGCAGTGTGCTTAATTGGTTTTGCCCAAATTACTTACTGCCTACGTGGATACATGGGCACAACCTACAAAGGAGATAATGTGATTGTGGGTATCTTAGTAGACATCGCATCAATTCAGCTTAGTGGCTTTAGTTATGATGGTCTTGATGAAAAAAAGCCCTAATATAGTCAGAGAAGACTGTTTAGTAGTCCTTGAGCTGCTAGTGATTGTCTTGGAGAAATGTGGAAAATAAGGGAAAGTAGTGCATCTTGAAAAAGGAGGTGAGGTGGGGAAAATAGGGGTGGGAATATACCACTTAAAGAGAAATACTGGAAGGAATAACTGAGCTATTTATAATGTCCACAAGATAGCATGGATGTAAGTTCCAAACAACATGGTTTGGTGATGAAAAGTCAAATCAAATGATAACTGTTGTGGCAGGGCAAATGAGTGTCATGACATCCCCTCATGACACTCCTATAAGTACAGTCTTGGTGAATCTATTCGTTGGGTTGATGCAGAGCTACTGAGTGTGCTGGCTATGTTTCACTGTCATTTTAATGGTGGCCATCCTAGTTCTGGCACTATTCGGTATATTTGAGGACATGGGTGACAGATCTAAGTGTATTTTTCTTACATTTGCAAGTACTAGCAAGCTGGAAAGCCTGTAGGCACAGTGGAGAACAAGAATAGAAATCAGAGTTCTCTTGAGAAAGTGGAGACATAGTCTGAAAAGAATTTTTATTATAGAAAAGTACAAAGTGCTGCTCTCTGTGTAAAAATAATCAGATGCACAGATATGAAAAGGGAAGGGGAGAGGGGAAGTAAGATGATCTAGAGCTCAAAAACTAAACTCGAAACAAGAATAAGGTAATCCTGCAGAAAAGCCTGATGTGTATAGGAGGCAGTCTCCAAGGCATGTGAAATAGTCCTTCCACTTCACCTGATTCTGGCACCTTGTGCCAGAGTGGAGCCAGACTTGGGCCAAATTAAGTCAGTACCTACAAATGCATACAGAGAATAAAACTAATCAGAAAAGCTAAAAAAAAAAAAAAAAAAAAGTAATGGAGAAAATGTGGTGTAAATCTTCAAATGCACAACAGATTGCCACAAGGACAATGTGAGTAATCTGCTCACAACCACAGTATATAGGAAAAGAAGTTATAGATTTAAATTAGAGCAAAGAAGATTTAGCTTACTCTATGGGGAAAAAATCTAGTGGAAAAAGAGCAGCGAAGACAGATTGTCTGGGGAGGCTGTGAGTTCTGCCCCATCTTTGGAGGGTTTTAAGAACAGACTAGATGAATATTCTAGAATACAGTTCATGTGAAATTTTGCAACTCATCTTGCCTTATATCTGAAGGGATAGACTAGATGACACTGGACATCTTTCCCAGCATTAAATTATCATCCTCTAAAATGAGACAAAAATGAAGCAAGGGCAGCCAGCAAAGAGAAGGGAGGGATTATGTGAGGAACAGCTGTTGGCATGGAAAGACAGGGGAGGTAGACGGCACGCAAGAGAATCGGAATAACTTGCCATGCAGGAAGGAGGGAAGCTTCTTCAGTGTCCTGTGGCCCTTCTTTGTCTGTGCTGCATCTGCACAACTGGGCTTCCTGGCTTCTTCTTTTCAGAGGTTTCCCTACAAGATCACATGAGATAAATGTGATGGGAAATGCACGTGTCAGCTGGCACTACGTCTTCCTTTGCCCTTAAAGAAAATCTTGTTTTCTCTTCTTGTGGTTTTTAGATGACATAGACTTTACAATGTTTTCATGCTAACTAACTTCGGGGTTGGGGCCACATTCTTCTAAATCAGATCACAGCTCTCCAGAAATGTGTGCCACCTCCACAGGGTCCTAAGGCAGGGAGGCACAACTCCATGCCAGCACAGCAGCTGAGCACAGGTCTGAGCAGGATGCTGAATTGATAACAAACATTTCTTAAGGGGCAGAATTATGCATGATGTTGGAATGGGAATGATTAACTTCAGCTCTGAAATATCCTTCCAGAAATCTGGGGACACTGGTGACCAGAAGTGCCTGGGGAAAGTTAAACTGTCTTTCCCTATGTTAGCACTATTCTTATCCCTCACATAAACCATGCAGTGGCTCTGTATTAGTTGTAAAACTGGTTTGGGTGCAGTGTAAACCAAGAAAAAGTGGAAAAAGTGGGGGCTGGAGCCAACAGAGGAGCTGAGGCTTTTCTCTCAATCCAGTTCTGTCCAGTCTACAGACAAGGTTTCCCTACACAGAGTGTTAGAATATGCAGTATTTCACTTTCCCACACCTCTGCATACCATTTGTTCCTTAATAGCAAATGTGAGAAAAACAGAGTAGCACTTTTGACCCTTTTCTCTAGGAAATGCAATTTTTTCTTGTCTTGCTGAAATCTCCATTCTGGTAGAGCATGGTGAGAGTGATTGTCCCAAGTGCAGAATATGGTGTCAACAGTGTTAGCAGTATTTCTGTGTGTTCAGGCAACACAGGCCGCAGGCAACAGGGGGCTGTGCCAGAGAGGCTAAAAAGGTCACAAGAAGGCAGCAACCAGACTAAGGCACTGGCTGCTGCTGTTTGGGAATGGGAATGGAGGGGGAAGAAGGGGAGACCCAGAAAAGTGGGTGATTTCATGAAGTTTGATTGACTTTCCTGAATCTCCCCTATGTGAAGGCAGTGACACTGAACTCTAACTGAACAAGGATAAGAAAAGGTTTTTCACCAGTAGAGTGGTAACTTAGTGAAAACATGAGGATTGTTCTCTGGAGACCAATCTGAAAAGAGTTCCTATTTACCCAGGTTTATCACACTTCATGTGACAAATCAGCATATTGAGCAAGTGAGAGCTGAAGCTAATTACAAGTCTCTTTCAAATAACCATGCATATAAATAATCTGTCAACAGAGAGGAGTGTGTCTTTGGTGATTGCTGGAGACTCCAGAAGGGAGCCTGACAGTCCCACGGAGCCAGCCTGGATCACCATCGCAAGGCAGAAGCAGTGGGGAACGCAGCAGGAGCAGGAGCTTGATGGAGAGAAACCTGTCACTCTGGATACAAAATCAGATACAGAGAAACAGAATAAAGAGAAGGAAAGAACAGAGGTATTTACAATACAAATTTGCAATGATTTCGTATTATTACATTTCTGTAATATTCCTTGAATCCGCTGCTATTTTCCTACTCAGATGCCATAATGATGACAGATACTTAATGAGTACAACCATAAACATCAAAAACACTGCTCTCATAAATGTGTTACAGATGTGGAATTCCCTGGTTATTCAGATAAGTAATTTTGTATATCCAAAAAATCCTGGAACTATGTGAGGTGTGTAACATTTCTTAGGTGCCCACTGCACACTTAGCAGAGGTAAGGTGTGAACTGTAGACTAAGATAACCAAAATGCAGTACCATATTGTACAGTCTCTTTCAATGCAATGGGATTGATACAATGCTCTCTCCACCATTTCATTGAATCTCCTCTACCTTCTGACTGATCTAACACCAAACGTAGAGCCCAGTCCTAGAAGGATTTTAGAGCAACAATGTTTAAAGCTTTGGGAAGTGAAACAGGACAAAAATAGCATTTGCACTTGCAGACTTTGCCAAGATATAAATTCTAGTTCTTTGTATATAACTGAAATGCACAATGTGGTGCCGCAGAATATGGGCTTCAAAGATCCTATGCAAAAAAGGTGATACCAGTAGCAAGTGATCTTCCCAGGTGACAAAGCTGTGCTAGCAGAAGCACTTGGCATTAATACAGAATACTAACAAGGCTTCCCTGTTACTGGGCTAGCTCATGGAGGCAGCAGTGTGCAAGTGCTGCTGCCTGTGTTGCCTCATGCACAGTAAGAGCCCAGCACTGATGCAGGAACATGAGTGGCTTACACCAGTTTAGCATTCCCAGTGCAAATGACCTACTTTCTTGCTTAAAATGGTACTATAAGAAACCCGATTACTGTATTATATCCTGGAATAGAAAAAGATGTGTAGATGATGAAAAAAATAGCAGTGGTTTAGATTAACAGGAAGTAAAACCTAATAAAATGTCTAGGCAAGATTGTAAACTGCAAAAATACTCAGCACTGTCACGGCAGTTAAAACACAAAGGGTTTAAATGATCCCAAAGTACAGTTTCTGTGTCAAATAGGAAACTCCAGATTTTAGTTGGCAGCGTTCCCTAAAATTCATGCCATACATTTCATTTCCCTGTATCAGCTAGCAGAGAAATATGACAAGATGCTCCTGACTGCTGTGTGTGAGGCGTGGTGCCACTGTACTACTCCTACTCTCACATGGCACCAGGCACTATCGCTTCAGGGTAGTTTTTGATACTGGCAAGAGAAATCATGAGAGGATGTGTTTCATTTCCTTTTCATGGAAGTTTACCTTCAATCCTCCAAAAATTCAATGCCTTAAGCCACAAAATTTGGGAGGTAAAAAGAGCGAGGCTGTTTGCAAATCCTGTGTACATTAGTGGAGCTTTCCAAATGGTTTGGAATATATTTTGTCTTTATAACAACCTACTAGGAGATTCTGTTACAAATAAGAAGATACACAAAGGGATAGTTTCAGTTTTTGAAGTTGAGTATTATGGATGCTAACGTGAAACCCATAGAGCTCTCTGAACAGGTGCCAGTTCCAGTGAGAGGAGTGAACCAGTGTGCGATAAGTCCATGTGATCTTTGGATCATACCAGGCATCAAATCCACTCCTTTTGCTCATATTCTTCCAGCCTGGTCTTACTTATTCACTGTGCATTATTTGGATTTTAACCCTCTGTGTACCTAGGGGTCAGTGAAACAGCAATGGAGCAAACCTTCTCAATTGGCACCTAAAACCACTTCTGAAGAACAGAAGAAGGAGTCAAAGTCTGAAGCAAAAGAGCCTCTGACAAGAACCAATTCACTGACACATTTCGTCTCTGGTAGGAAAGAAAATGCTTAAAATGTATTGCTCTTACCTTGAAACCTTGTCTGAAGAAATCCTCTTTGAGCGTATTGGAGAAGGAGTAGGGGTTAGATCCTAATCCCTTCCCTGGTCGCACATCACCAGGGGCAAAGTGTTTTCTCAGCACTCTGGAGATCTATGGTGCCACATTCCACTTTGATTATACTGTAGTCAGAACTAGTGTTGAAAGAAATTGAATCAAGAGTGCCAAGCCATTTCACAGGATTGGGTCCCAAATGTAAAAGGTAAAATGCATGCAGAACTGTTTTCAACAGTGTTCAGTTTCCATGGGGTTTTCTAAGCACACAAGAACAATGTGGGCTCACCACCTATCTGCCCATCAATGAGTTGAAGGCTGAGAGGAAGTCTGAAATGAGTGCCCTTGTTTGGCCCGGGTGTGAGCACAGGGCATGGCAGAGAATTGAGGTCATCTTACTGTTTTTTATAAGTTTAGGAACCAAAGCATATTAGTCTTTAAAAATGTATTCTTTTGTTGCTCGAAGTGGTTATTGCCTCAATAATGTATCGTAGAAGTTTTGATGTGAAATGCAAAGATTTTCTGCTGAAGAGCAAGACTCAGCAAGTTTTTAATGACAGAATAGAACATATAGCTGCACAGCAATCTTGTCTGAAATGCACCTGTGTTTTATTCACACACAGTAGCTCAGTCATTGGCACCGGGAGACAAAGATGAAATCAGCCACTTGAAGAAAGCCAGTACTGCTGCTCCAGACCAGCCGTCATGGATGGAACTTGCCAAAAAGAAATCTCAAGCTTGGAGTGATATGCCCCAGATTATAAAATAGAATTATGCAAATGAATAACATCATTTATAAATAAGTCAACTACTTAATTGAACTTCTACAGACCAACCAGTCACAGTGAAGAATCTGTGATACAGAAGGCTCTTACTATACAGCTGTGGAGAAAGCGTGCAATAGGTGCAGTCAAAAAGTTTACCTAAGCAATTGTAGCAATCAGGATTGCAATGGATTACTTAAATTATGCTGAGAACATACTTACACTTTGGAAAACAAAATTTCTGCTTTATCTATTTCCTGTGTTTTCTTCCTTTAAGGATCTTTGCTAAACTTTGCTGAGTTTCAGTTGTTACTGTTCTGTTTGATATGTTTTTTCTGTGTTTACATTTAAAAACTGTGCATTAACATCCTGGTTCTGTTGATATGTGTCACTGGAATTGCCTCACGCTTTTTCTGTCAAACTGTAGAAGTTTTCATGAATGGCTTCTAGTGAGTACTCTGCTAAAATGTGCTGATTGGACTCTGTGTTTGCTGAGCTGAACCAAGTGGTCCAGTCTCTGATTTTAGGTTACATTTCATGAGGCACAGCAAATTTATGCATGACCATGAATAAAAATTCCTCAGGTTCTTCTGTGAGCAGCGTTGGTTGTGTGATATTTTCTAGAAGGTGAACAATAAGGAAACTGGACTGAAGTTGGAAGCTCATTGCAGTTACTTTTCAACCTGAATTTATCTGCAACTATCTTCTCTTTATGTGAAATCATCATTCTCAATTAGCAACATGGTGTTAGCAGCAATGGACAATTTTGCAAGCTAACAATAAATCCCAGTGGGGAATTTCCTGGAAACTTAATGCCCAGGAATTAATGCTAAGGAAACTTAGGAGTGGCTAAGGCAAACATTTATCTCTGTGTATGTATGTATGTGTGAAATATTGCCTTAACGCTGCACTCCCTGGATTTATTTATGTATAGATTTGTGATTTCGTTTCTCTTTCAGAAAAAAAAAAATATATATATATATATATATATATAGGGAGACCTTAGGGAATGTAGGATTTCCTAAGAAAAACATCTTGTTTGGAAGTTTTGTTGTGTTGTCTTCTCTAAGGAGGTGGGGAGTAAAAGCTGGCCTTCCTCAGCAATGATTATTTAATTTTGCAACAAACAACGCATTGGAACAGGTGAATATCCAAGGCATTGTGGTGGATTCACCCTGATAGACAACAAAACTCCACCTCAGCAACTTCCTACCACAGGACCCACCTTTCAGGCACTGCTCCACATGGGTGCCCAATGGGCAGCATCCCTCCTGCCCCACCATGGGTCCCTCTCCATTGGCTGCAGCTCTGGCTGTTTTGTTTTTGTATCCAGGTGATACTGTAGGACCAGCAGAAGAAATAGGTACATTTTTCAGATATTATAAAAAAGATTTTAACTCCCTCTGTAATAACTTTTTAGCATATAGTGTTATTTTAATACATACTGTTACTGTATGGTTTCTGTATTAAAGGAGTATCCTGTGCAAAGAAGATGATGTTTTCAGGAAATGCAGTGAAAAATGTAGTCTGTCTCCTTGCAGCCCTTAAAATGATTAAATCTACTGAATCGTGACTGAATTTTTGGAGCATGACCTGTATAGCTGCATGGGGAAGCATGGGAACCATTGGACCATCTCCCGTTTTGACAGACAGACACTCAAGAATACCAGAGAAGCAAGATGGAGGTCTGCTGGCATGAGCTGTGCAATCCTAAGGGAAAAAACCACTGTGTGCCTTGCTCCTTGTGTGGTGGTTTGGCTCCAAACAGAAGACTGGAATCACCAAAGATGTAGATGATATCACGGTGCAGCTAGATCAACCAGTGGAAGACAAAACCCAACAAGAGTTGATCAGTATGAAAGCCAAGGTCTTGGCCTCAGTGATTGCCACTGGCCTTGGCCTGTGCTGTTGCCATGGGCCTTTGAAGGCGGCAGCTGGAGGACTCATCTTTGCCACAGCGTCGTTCCACAGGCACCAGCCTTTGTGAAAGACTCTGGGCTCTCAGGACCTCTCACCTGACAGGCTTTTGTTTTCTCACAGCATTGTTCTGTACACACAGAATCATAGAGTCATAGAATCACAGAATGGCCTGAGTTGAAAAGGACCAATGATCATCCAGTTTCAACCCCCTGCTATGTGCTGAGTCACCAACAACCAGACCAGGCTCCAGAGCCACATCCAGCCTGGCCTTGAATGCCTCCAGGGATGGGGCATCCACAGCCTCCTTTGGGCAACCTGTTCACTGAGTCACCACCCTCTGTGTGAAAAACTTCCTCCTAATATCTAACCTAAATCCCCCCTGTATATTTTTCTTTCTAAGTCAAAGGGCCCTGATACAGTCCTGATACAGCTGTGCTGTCAACAGGTAGGCAGAATGTAGGTTTGGAATCTGTGTATTTTGCTTTGGACAGAAGGCTTGTTTGTGGCCAAATACAAATGTATTTTTCTTCTCTGTGTGAAAAGTGATTTCTGGTTATCAATTCACACCACTGGAAAAGCCTTTCAGACCTGATCAGCTTTCCTGGGGACATCACTGTGTGTTTCCAGCCGAGAAGCAGTATGACTGACTCAGGCTGATCCATTTTGCTCAAGCAAGTGCAGTATACATTGTTGGTACAGAACTTCTAACACTGACATAAAATGTAAAAATTCAGCCTTTGTTCATAACTGACGCGCATCAGCTCTAACAACCTGCATTATAGTCAAGGAACACCAGCAAAATGGACTGGAAAACAGAACAGTTTCCTTTTCCAGAAGTGCTTTGTGATGCATCTTTGGCTTTCTGTCCAAGGTGCAAGGTGACACTCTGTAATCAGTTTCTGTCCCTGGCAGTGAAGTACTGCATGCAATGCAAATGCAGTGTGGGCTGTGCCTCTTTCTGTGCAAAAAGTGTAGAGTTGGTGACTTACCCAATTTACAAGTTGGATTATCAGAATTAGCCACCTCTGGAGCTCAGTAACTTTCAGTAAAAAATTATGACTAAATGATTTTTAATGTACAGCAAACCATAATTAATTTTTAAGGCCAAAATAGCCCTCCAGCCTTTACTTTGATAGTGTTTTGCGCTGCGTTTCTTTTGACAGTAAAAACATTTACTAAATGTATTTCATTTTTTTAAAGATGAAAAGGAACACAAAATCTTGTCAGAAGATGTCCAGCAGCAGCGTAGCAAGGAGCTTGCTGTAATTTTGCAGTGCCATTAATTCCCTCTTAGTCTAGAGAAGTGCAGTGAACTTGTCAAAATGTTTGCTTTGTACATGTGATGAGCATTCTGCTGTGGATAACAAAGGTTTAATTACTGGGTTTGGTGTTTGTGGTTAGCAGATGGCTTTTGTACTATTCTGGAGTCAAAGGCAAAGAAACGATTTGCAAGTGCTGGTCAGTGCTTTGTGGCTTGTGAATCAATACCGACTGAAGGGCCTTGTGGAGTATCACTCCCAGATAGTTCTCTGCCTTGTGTTACTCTTTGAAGCTTCCTACCAGTGTGACACATTCCCACAAGGTCCATTCAGATCTTTTTTTGTGATACCTTGGAGTGCCTTTGCTTCCCCCGCAGATCCCAGTTCTCTTCTGTGCACTGGCTGTGTTCCCAGAATGAAGCCCTCCCGGCTCACCTATCGCAGCTGAAAAGGAGGTCGCTCAGAAAAGCATTGACCTCCCTCCTTCTCTGGGATCCCAGACGTCTCTCAAGAGCTGTTAGGAGCACAGCTCATTCTGCACTAAAGTGTCGAAGCAAAGTGATGGAGAGTCGTTCTGCTTCCTTCCACCTCTCACACCTTTGCAGACTGTGCTTTCAGTGACTTCTTTTTGTTAGCCTGCAAGGCTCCCCTTATTTACTTGTTGGCATATGAAAGGGCACGTGTTGCAGACTCACAGTCCCACTGAAGCCTGTTCTGCTGTCTTTAAGGACGCTGAACCAGCTGCGGTGGCATATGAGGTCCTCCTCATTCCCCATAGCAAGAAATCCCCATTTTTCCACAAATATAGTTTGACTTCTGAAGGTGAGAATTGACATGTAATTTCCTAACCTTTGAAAGTAAACTTTGAGAACTGATGGTTTCCCAGATGAGCCTTAAAGATCACTTCCAGCCCAAGCCATTCAATCCAGGAATTTCTGAACTGGTGAGCCAAGTTTGTCCCAAGTCAGGCTGTGCTAATGGTGCTTCCCAAAGAGATCCCATCCTCACTTTATTTTACTCTTTTTTTAACCCCCTCTGAATTTAATGCAGTTGCCTGTATCCACTCCACAACACTGCCTACATCAAAGTGCCGACGGGAACATTGTGGAAAGAGCAGACAACACTCCAAGTCATGACAAGAGGAGAATTAAGGCAACAGCAGTTCAGGAAAACAGAGCCACCCTCTCAAAAGAAATAACAGAGAGACCATAATAAGCTGCTGGCTCTTCCTCTTCGCGCTCAGCACAGGAGATGATTTTGACAGGCACGCTGCCTGTGGACAGCACAGAAGAACACGGCCCTGTCCCACTGTGCACCATGGCTCTGTGTCCCTCCAATCCCAAACCTCTTGGCAAATCAGTGCTCACCCCCACACCTTTGGTGTACTCATGGCTCACTGGCACAGCAAACCAGCACTCCTGAGGGCCAGCCCACACCAGGCCCACTGTGAGCACCTGGCTTTGCTATGCGGCTCAGACTCAGGCAGGCCGCCTTCATGACTGCCCAGCTCTTTGCTGCTTTCTGTTCCTCCTCTGTGGCTTTTCTCTGTTTTCCCGAAGCAGCAGGTACCCTGAAGGCTGGCTGCCTTCCTTTTAATTCAGCCCAAGCACCGAGCTCCTTCCAGCACGGCAAGCAGGACAGCGGCCGCCCGGGGCAGCAGCTGTGAGTCACTTCTGATGGCAGTTCATGCAGTCAGCTGCTCTCCAGAGAGACACTGAGCTTTGGAATTGCCTCTTCATGCCACACTTTCTCTTTAGATGCCTCGATTACAGGGAGGATATAATTTATCTTACCTTGTAATCATGGAGAGGAGATGTGGGCAGGCTGCTTTTGCCTTGACCTACTTCAGTGAAGCAGCAAAGAACGCAGAGCTCTTCTGGGCTGAGAAAAATGGCTGCAACCTCCACCAGAACTCACTTGTGTGGGCTTATGCTGCCATGTGGGGGGGGGAAGACAGTGCATATCCAAGGTGATAAACCCACGATGGCTTTCCCACTTGCTTTTCCCCTTTGCACAAGTAGCTCCTCGCCTCTGCCCACAAAAGCCAGCCCTACTCGCATACAGCCACTGGCACCATGCTGCAGTGCGCAGACTGGGCTTCAGGAGGAGAAGAGGTGGTTTCTTTGGCTGCTTTTATGCAGATTGATGGACAAAAAGGAGCCTCTTAACTATATGCCCGCCTCAGGGATTGGTTTGAGCAATTTGGAGTCCTCATTAGAAAGTAACAGATGAGCTTGGGAGAGCATCGGAGGACACACGCTTAATTTCCTGTGTAACATTATTGAAATACCACTAAAGAATAAAGTTGTATTTAAAGGGAACATAAATCTCTATCTTGCCTCAATAAATTGAACTTTGAATTTTATGCTTCCTCTAAATGCAAGATGAAAAGTTCCACTTGTTAAAATATTTTATTTTAGAGGAGAGTGCATGGCTCCTAGGACATACGAGATTCTTCCTCGCAATTTAATAGGTGATGACGCCTTTAAAGGAAACAATTTCTGCTTCCAAATTCTGCTTTTCCCTTGAGCAGCTGAGAGCAACTTGGAGGTTGGGCACAGCAACTGTTCTGATCAACCTAAGTACATGACCTGACAACCAGCAAGCTGCTCTTCTGGCACTGAGTCACACACCGGCCTTCAGCTGACCCCAAAGGTTACTCACAG